TTTAGGGTTTAGGGTTTAGGGCTTTAGGGTTCAGGGGTTTAGGGTTTAGGGGTTTAGGGTTATAGGTTTTAGGGTTTAGGGGCTTAGGGTTCAGGGTCCGGCGGGGTTTACGGCACCCTAGACCCTATAAACCCTAAACCGGATATGGGGTAAGGGATTACGGAGCGCTTTCTTTCTTGCAGGGTTTTTGCAAAGACGTAATACAGTAGGTTGCGAATGCTGAATGCCACACTTTTTCCGTGCAGGTTTCATGTGTAGCTGTTGCACATGGGTTCATACAGTTTTCGCATGGGTTTGTAAGGTTTTGCTGGATGAGAAAGGGGGCATTAGGTGAAATTCTACCAGTTATTCAGGACCAACCATGAGCTTTCGAACGGAAACTTGGGCTGCAGAGTCTTGCATCGTGATTTCGGATCCGGGGACCTGCGGACGTAACGTCGCAGGGTTTGGGTTGGCTATCCCCAGGTGGTGTGGGTCCTTCCTGAAGCCGTAGCAGGCAATCAGACATGGGAGTCGTTCCAATACGGGTTGCACGTTAAGGATAATCCGGTATATCGTCCGGTCGAGACAGTCCTGGATCCTATACTCTTAACGGTTTAGGGTTTAGGGAAGCTTAGGAACCCGCACCCTAATCCTAAACCATATAAGCTTAATTACACCCTAAACCCCAACATCGAGCCACGAACTTTGCACAGAAATCTTGGCGGTTTGCACGAAAACTCTCAAACATCCGAGGCCTCAGGTGGGTTTCGCCTTAAGAAACTTAATTTTAGTTAACAAACATGGGGGACCTAAAGAACACTGTAAAGGATTTCCTGATTATGGTAACTTAAATTAAACGTCCTTAACAAGAGGCCAGTTAAAGACCTGCGATGACTTGCGAAAGCTATTGCACAGATCAAAGTTCTTGCGGCGATTTTCGGGTTTCGGACGCTAAGATAAACACTAAACTCACAACACCCTGAAACCCCTAAGCCCTAAACCCTAAACCCCGGAAACCCCCCTGAGACCCCGAAACGGATAAACCCTAAACCTCAGACCCTGAACCTTGAAGCCCAAGCCTCCAAGTCTCAACCTAAAACCGCAGAGGGTTTAGGGTTTAGGGTTTACGTGTCAACCCTCACTTCAAACCCCGCCCTTGCTTCCTACTTGCACGTTTAGTCTGCTGTTTTCTGCAAATGGCGACGCAATGTCTGTCTGTTGGTGTCATGACTTCACGGATCAGGGCGACTGAGGTTTGACGAGGCTTTAGTGGTTTAGGGTTGAGGGTCTATGGGAGTTAGGTATTTTGGGATCCTGTTTAAACCCTATAAGCCCTAGGCCGTAAACTCCCAACCCTAAGCCAAAAACCCTCAACCCTAAATCCAAATGCGGCGCAGCTGCAACTTCACCTTTCCTCTCAGAATCGCCTTCCGGATGGACTCCTTACTGGCATCCTTGCCTCAGAAGGCAACTGCCAGAATCGCAGGTCAATGCTCCGAAATCACTCCAACAAACCCTGTGCGGAAAACTGGCCAAACTCGTAGCACGTCGTAGCTGCCAGACTGATTGCAACTTTATCTGGCACGTACACCAAAGCCCTTAGCTGTGCTCAGACCCCGCCCTCTCACGGAACATCTGTCGTACTACTCAAGCCTCGAATCCTTAGCCTCATGTTCAGCAAAAGCATCCAACCAGAACCTCCCACCATACTCCTACATATGCACGGCCACAAAGACCAACCTGCATTCTGCAATCCGCTATCCCTGCGCCCCAAACGATAAACCCTAAACCCCTAGACCCGCAACCCTAAACCCCAAATACCAAACTCTGATGGTTTTTTGGGGGCACTTGTGCAATCTGCGAATCAGAAACGCCTTTGCAGCCACAGGTGCCAAGGAAGGGGAGAAAACCTGAAAGGAGGATGTGTAGGATGACGCCGCCTCAAGCATTCAGAACACAAGCAGGCACAAGGGCTTCTTTAAGGTTTAGGAGTTAGGGTTTAGGGTTAAGGGGTTTAGGACAAAAAGGAATGTAGTGGCCTGAAAGAACTAGAATAGCCTCGGGGGTAATCTATATTGCGCTGCCTATACGGGACGATGAGGGAACAATACACATCATGAAATCTTCGATCCTACTCTCATTTTTATTCACAGCGTTTTTGGGGGCGCGTGGAGTTCAGCGTGTTTTGGAGCTTGTCAGGGTGGCTTTAACTGCTTCCCCACGCTCTGGCCTTCGAGAATCCTAACAGCAAAAACCTCTGCAGTCCATAGGCACAGAACCCTTGACTCCTTACTGGATCGCCACACAACCCAAAGCAGTCATTACCCATAGGCTCCTTAGTAGTTCCTTTTTGGGATTACCTTATAGGATTCTAAATATGAGCCATAAAAAGGAACCACTTAGGAGCCTATGGGTAGGGTCTAGGCTTTCGGGTTTAGGTTTTAGGATCGTAAGACACACTGTAGAGAATGGACAAAACCTCTGGCAAATACATCGGCAACCGAACATCTCGCTCAACCAATACACCTCGTCAAGTGTTAACCCTTGAAAAACCCTATAAGCCCGTTCCTTTTGGAGCTGTGAAAAAATCCCGGAAGATCGCGTGTACTCCAAAAATAACCGTGACATGTGTATCAGGGTTTAAAGTTTGTAGCGTTCTCTCTGGGATTCTGACGAGGGTTTTGCCAAGGGGTTTGGGGTCAACAAGGTTCATGGTGGCTTACAGGGCCTAGATTGTAGCGCCTTTAGGGTTTTCGGAACAGGACAACGAAATTCTCACAACCCCATGCAACCAGTCGAACCCAGCCAAGACCGGCAGAAGCGAACATAGTGTCTGACTGTGCTTAGACATCCGTGCGGCACCCGCAGCCGAACCACATCCTAACCTCTCCATGCCCTCTAAACTCGAAACTAAACCTTGCACCTCAGCACCACCCTAAACCCCGAAACCCTAAACCCTAAACCCCTAAACCCTACTAAACCCCTAAACCCCTAAACCCTACTAAACCCCTAAACCCCTAAACCCAAAAAACTCGGAGCCGTAGACGCCAACCTCCCACGTGCACTCCAAGTTCTGAGTCCCAAGAGTCCAAGCCCCAAGCACTAAACACCAAACGGAACGTCAACGACTGGAGGCCGAGGACCCTCACCACTCCAATTTAGGGGTTGGGGTTTAGGGTTTAGGGTTTGGGGTTTGGGGTTTAGGTCTTACCTGTAGGCTTATACCTTGTACCTTTTTTTGGTTTCGAAGCCATGACCAAGAATTCTTGGATACGTTTTTTTTCGGCTCCTCAACTTATCCTCAGCAAGTAGGTTGAACCGATGTAACCCAATGAAACTCAGAGCAAACCATGACAAGCCATCCCAAAGCTCAAACATTCAAAAGGAAACCCAGTGGACCCTCTGAAGTTGGCCCAATGTTGCAAAATCCAATAAACACAGCATAACCCTTCAATCCGACCTGACGTGGACATCGACCTTGAGCTTCTTTGTGGCATGGCGCTCTGCTTTGATCACAGACTTGGTGGTGATGGCAGCTCGGACAAAGATATGTATGTAATGGTTCAGGTATGCAATGTTGGTACGATTATCTAAACTAATAAACAATCTTGTGCTGATGCTCATGGTTGCAGGTAGTAGGCCTACTTACCGCGACTGCCAGCCCATGCTTTCTTCAACTCTACTTTGTACATCTGAAGCCGCCTCAGGCAGGCAGTGCTGGAATGCAAAGTTCTCATGGGCCGACTGACTACCCCGATGAAATCCTCACCATCAGGTGTTGCCCAGACTGCTGGATTCACATGATAGACTATCTCAGGGTTTCGAAGGCTGGCACGCGTTTCCAGTACCAGGTGCTTCATGTAATGAAGTTTCGGCACCAGAACAAAATGACACAGCCGTTCTCGATGTGACCACTTAGCCAGGAGGACATATGCCCGAATAAACGAATCCAAGCTTCTGACAGCAACAGCAGCTTCAGAACACGCCAACCAGCGCCTGTCCTGGGCAGTCCAGCAGGTCCTGTAAAAATCATTGTACCATCCAGCAGCCTGCAACATCGTCAGCAGGACGCCATCTTCATCAAAAGCCCATGGCAAACTGAGATAATATTCCAGGAACTTCATAATGAGTATGGAATCACTCGCTTTGAATGAGGAATCAGGAAAACTTGTTGTCGTTGCATGAAAGTTTGCTTTGGTGAATTCTTTCACCAGAGGTGTTTCCCCGATCATGCGACAAAAAGATTTGAACTCCTCATAGGCTTTGGCAAGTTGCCCATCTAATGACCATCCTGCACCACGAAAATGCCCGAAGCGCTGGCACAATAGTACCAGCACAGAACAGTAGAAGTGGCGAGCCACGCCCAAGTGGCCCAAATGGAATATGTCATGTCGGGCCTTGTCTACACCTGCCATGCCAGGAATCTGACTCATGGTTGACGTGAGGGGCCATGGAGGTGGCACCTCATCCATGACCCAGGCAGGATCATCACCGACATCCCCCAAACTTTCATTCGTGGCCATACAAAATGGGCAGCAAAGTGAGCACTGGAAGTTACGGCATTGCTTCCAGGCCTTGGCCTGGAACGGCAAGTCGCCAACAGTGCCTACAAACGCGAAGTAGAGGGTGCGCCCTTCATCCACCACCACTCCTGACAGGAGGCCTCATGCCAATAGTAAGTAAGGTCGGTTAACCCTAGGAATCCTTACACATCAAACCCCGTAAACCTTAAACCCTAAACCCTGGGTACTGCCCCCATACAGTAACAGTATATAATAGGGCTACTATTCAAGGACCTTCTACACACACACATACATACATACATACATACATACATACATACATACATACATACATACATACACACACACACACATATATATATATGTATACACACATATGTTATATATACCCATGCCATAATGAAGATGACTCAACTGTTACTGAGTGGGGGCAATATCCAACCTAAACCCTATGAAACAATAAAACCCTATTCTTAAACCCTCAACCACGTGAGACTAACCTGGTGAAAGCAAAATTATGCACAACAGAACATCTAGCTGCATCCCAACATATTTAGGGCAGGCTTGACATCTCCACAGGGGCAAGGGTGAAGGCATCCATGCAAGGCAAAGCCAGCCTTGTTGGAAAAGTCGGGTAGCCTCCAGCACATAGTGCTCCAGAACAGCATCCAAGCATTCATTCTTCTCAGCAGAGCCTTTCTGGAAACCTCTGTAGTACTCGTGCGGAATGACCGTGTACAAGAAGTATCGGAACATGCTGTTGTTTCTGCAGTTCAGCAGTGCTTTGGTGGACAAGACATAAACAGGATGTTTGCGCTTCCCCGTCCCTTCATCACCATAGCATACGAGTGGGACGGTATCCTGCAGAGGGCGGTTTCCAAACACCATGTGGCCTGGATCATGTTGTTGATAACGCAGCCAGTACTGAGACAGAACCATTCTCGACTCTTCAGTGCTCACGTTATACCCACCCAGAAAATGCTTGGCGTGGCCTGCTTTGATCATATACACAAGAAACTTTTCCAGTGAGAAAATCGGATGTTGAGAGAGACCTCGGCCAAAGTAGGGGATGGCAATCTTGTCGATAGGTATCTGGGCCCCATAGCCAGCACGCAAAAGATTCCGAGTCAAACTTTCCAGGTGGTTCCCTTTGCTGGAATCAGCTGCACGTGCTATACGTTGCAACTCCCAGGATTCCTGTTGTCGATCGAGGCCAGCAGCAGAAGCCCCACGTTTGACACCCGTCTTGGCTAGGCCAACCGCCTTGGAAGCATTGCCATCCTGGGATAAACTGCTCAGAAATAGCACCCGGGAACTTGTTCAAGATATAGGCTTGGGGATTGTAGGGTTTACAGCCTTGGGTCTAGGGCTTACAGGGTTTAGGATTTAGGGTTTTAGTTGAACGAGGAGCTGGTCGAAGGAAAAACGTGCTACTAGAAGCAGAGTGCTGCATGATCCATCCGAGGGACACAGTACAGCTCAACTACTTCATCGACGAGGTCACGGCCACCTGGCATGATTCAGAATCTGCTCAAGAGTCGAGGCGCACAAGGCACAAACTTCATATCAAGCGACATCCGAGTTATGCACGGCATCATTCAGACATGCTGCAGGTGCAGCCAGTTTGTTTTGCATCATGGCCGCAGGGACATCTGCGAAGCTTCAGCATGATTTGAGGCCCCAAAGCTTTCTTCAAAAGTATTAGAGCCAGCATCAGAGAAGCCGACAGCCCACTGGGCTGGTGTGAACCCTGCTCATCAGATCAGACAAACATAGCACACTGCATAGAGAACAATATGTTCACTCCAGGCCTCTGCAAGAGCCCAAACTTCAATGTATGTTGACCCTAGACCTTTAAATGCCTATATAGATCGCTATAGGGCTGCTGATCATAGAGCATGCCACTGGTGGCCCCTCACACACATCATAGCAGGTTCTAAGTCGGCCCAACATCCACTGGCTTCAGCAGACTCCGCGCGAGTCTGGACTCAGGCTCCTTCAGGCTTGGCAGTAGCCTTTTTCTTGGCCGCCGTGCGCTTGTTGAAGTACGTCCTCAGATGTTGCAAAACCTACACAGAGAGAGAGAGAGAGAGAAAGAAAAAGCGAGAGAGAGAGAGAGAGAGAGAGAGAGAGAGAGAAAGAGAGAAAGAGAGAAAGAGAGAAAGAGAGAGAGCGAAAGACTGAGAGAGTGAGTGACTAAGAGTGAGTGTCATTGAGAACTGGGCTCATATTATGCTCTCCGAGGATCTTCAAAATCGCTGCCTGGTTGTCAAAGCTGCGGCACCTAGGAGCCACAAAGAGCCCCCAAAATCAAGGAAGGAACGTGTTGCAATCCTGGCACTTAATGCATTCAAAGCCCGAGGAGTGCACGCCCCTTCCATGGTATCGCAAATCAGCTTGTAGCTGTCAGGCCTCAAGAAGGCATAGCGAAGCCCACTCCAAGCAGGAATCCACATGGCATGTATTGCTGCCTAGGTGCTTTTTCTTCTCAGCACTCGTCTCGGTGGCACAGATCTTGTTGTACGCCGTCATGATTTGATCTGGCAGCCAGGCAGAGGCACACAGGAAAGTTAATAATGTGGGTCACCGACCAGCACACGACCTGCCTAGGGTAAGCTTCAGGCTTTCAAGGTCTTTCCTGCACACCAAAATTAGGAATTTCAGGGATAGGGTTTTAGGTTTAGGGGTCTATGGGTTTAGGTAGGGTTTTAGGGTTATTGTAAGCCTTCAGGGCTTTATAGGGTTTGATAGGCTGTATGGTATATTCTATATTGGATTACATTTGCATGTAACATAGCAATAGGAGCACTTGAGAGGCCGGTACCAGACCTTAAGATTTGCGCTTCCAGCTTTCGGAGGAGCTTTAGGATTATGGGTTCATACCCTACCCCTTTTTTAGGGTGCCTAGTTTTCAGGAAGAGTCTGTTATATCGAAAAGCGGTAGCCCCAGACAAAGCGGGTCACAGGCTCGGAAAGGCTTGCGGGGCCTGGATTATCCAGTATATATTGTATACACATGGTATGTTTGCTTATGACATACAGGCTGCATCTGCATCTTTCCAACCCTCATCAATTCAACGTTTCCTCATAAAGAGGACCCTTTAGGGTTACTTTCTATCTGGCTAACCCAATTATAAACATAAAGCCAGCTAGGTAGCCTAAAAGTCCCTAAGATAAGGGTAGGCCCGAAACACGACATCCCCCCACCGAGACTTGAAACCGAAGCCAAAAACCCAAGTAACAACACATACGTCGGGCTCATCAGCAGACACCCTCCAGAGGGTATTTTCGAGAAACTTGGGAGGGTTAAGACCATGCATGGTCTTACTTGCATATACAACACAAGTAATCGAGAAAGCCGAATACGACAATAAGTACCATTACACAACAAAACAGACGAAGCGAATCAAAGATTTCTGTAGACTCGTAGCAGTTAACGCAAACAACTTTGCAGCACGAACCCCGTGCAGCCAAGCATCTCATGGCCCGTGCTTTTATCCTCTTTCAAGCGGTCCTCCACGCTCTTGTAGATGCCTCGTCGCTTGAGAGCGGCATCCTTGAATTTTTTCACCCCGGCCCCCAACGTAGCCACATCCTGTGTGATCTCAGGAAACTCGGGGAGCCGAAGCTTCTGTGAAGCATCCTCCTCCAGCGGAGCCTCGACAGCCTCCGCCTGGTGAAGGTTGAAAGCAAAGCTATCCTCGAAACCATTCCCGGCGATGGCCGCCATCTCTTCCTCTAAGCGTAGTCGCATGAGCATTTCGTCGTCGACACGGTCTTCAAGCTCGACCAGGAACTTCAGTTCCCCTGTATACTTGCATCGCCTCGAATAGAACACTCGGTTAGTCTGAAGCCCATCTAGATCATGTGCGAGAATACATGTACGAGCATTGGTACAACTAGCGGCGGCTGTGATGAACAGAGCTGCTTCGTCAGCGATTTAATCTGAGACCCATCTCAGATCATGTGCAGGCTTGCATATACAAGCCCGATTTACAGCTAACATTGGGTGTGATGAACAGAGCTGCTTCGTCATCTTCAAGCGCTGACAGTAGGCCATGGCCCCCTTCACTTTCGTCCTGATCAGCATGAAAATACAGCCATCATGCTTCGTCTCTGTGTGGACAAGATACCGGACTAAGATTGCTACTAGAAAGACTCAAAAAAAATAACACCAAATAAACTGTATCCTGCCCGGTATGATGTGTAGGATAAACCGACCTTCCCAATGAAAACCAGGACTCTCATCCCAGCCCAGCTTTAGCATCTCCTTCTCAGTAAGCCAGCCTCTGATGAGGTTGCTCTTCTGGCTCTTCTCCTTTTCGCGCTTGAACCTCACCAGCGTCTCGAGCCGTCCCTTGGATCCACATAAACACACCGGTTCAGGCTTTGGAGTGGGCCCAAGTCATTCGAAAAGGTTTCGGGGGTTGAAGTGTGCTTGGTTGTTCATGGTCCGGCTCTTTGGGGTTCTTGCTAAGGAATGAAATTACCGTAGTAGGGATCTGAAGTAGATAGAACGGCTTCCTAATGGTATAGATAAAAAATCCCGGAACCCTAAACCCTAAACCCCTAAACCCAAAACCCTAAACCCGATTCTGGGCAGGTTTAAGGCTTTTGGGGCAGACACCGTGCCAGGATTACACAGCAGCCAGGATTACACAGAATGTGAGCAATAAAACAAAATTGTGTGTGGGTGCATGCATGAGTGTGACTGACTGTGAGTGAGTGACTGACTGACTGACTGACTGACTGACTGACTGACTGAGGGAGTGAGTGGATGAGTGGGGGCGTGAGTGAATCAGTGAGTGAATGCATATGTGTATAGAACAAACCCAGCACAGGGTATTCACCCCCAAACCCAGCAAGCACGCACGCAAGGCAAAGTAAAGCAAAGCAAGCAAGCAAGCAAGCAAGCAAGCAAGCAAGAGAGAGAGAGAGAGAGAGAGAGATGGATGGATGGATGGATGGATGGATGGATGGATGGATGGATGGATGGATGGATGGATGGATGCATGCATGCATGCATGCATGCATGCATGCATGCATGCATGCATGCATGGATGGATAGAGAGAGAGAGAGAGAGAGAGAGAGAGAAAACGGAATGGCCTTGTTCCCCTCGTAGTCTTGGGGCTTGTAGCACTTCGTCACAAAGTCACGCAGCAACTCTTGCTTGTCAGCACCGCCTCAGCCAAGCCGAGAAGCAGATGGAACCCGCCGCAATCCGGTGCAGTATATACGAGTAGTTCACACTGACACTGATGACAAATGACACAGGTAGGCATCATTACACTTGTCATCCTATAGGACAGTGTAGACAAGTAACCACGGTGCCAGCGATCGTAAATCTCCTGGTCGCATTTCGGATCTCCTTTCGAGGTCGGCGTTGTCAAGCGGTACAAGTAGTTGTACTCCAGCTTGTGCGTAGCACTGTTGATTTTGACCTTGGTCAGATCCTTTACAACCTCACAGATACTTTGGAGCTGCTGCGGGCTGAGCTCCTGCAACATGCACATGGCCAGCAAGTGCCCCAATGGGAGTGAAAGAGAGAGAGAGAGAGAGAGAGAGAGAGAGAAACAGAGAAAGGGAAGGAGAGAGTGAGTGAGAGCTAAACCCAAACCATAGACCCTAAACCCTTTAAGCCTAAACCCCTATAAGACCGAACCCCATATCTTAAACCCTAATCTCTCTCTCTCTCTCTCTCTCTCATATTCTCATGTACCACAATTAAAAGCTCACAACTGCAGCGATCCTGATCATCATTCCCATCGGAGGGCTTCGCTGTTGTAGGCACAACAGGCTTCCCCGGAAGGTCTCTTGCATTGGCTGACTCATGAAGCAAAGCTAACTTCGACTGTGCAAGGACTTGGGAAGGCGAGGCAGCTTCTCCGGGCGAGGTGGAAGCCACGGATGTCTCCGATTGAAGGCTGGCCGATGATTTGGCGCGCAAGAGAAGTTTGGCTTGCTCGCTTTGTTGTTTCTTCCTCTCTGCCATCCGAGCTTTGAGAAGCTCCATCTCCTTGCTGTCACGTTCATCATCCAGCTGCATCTGCTGCATTGTCCCCAAAAGCTTTGCATGCTCCTGTCGCTCCTTGAAAGCCTCCCCTTCCTGGACTTGCTTGGATTCCTCCTGGCGTGCTTTGGCTTCCGAGGGAGTCTCCATGCCATCAAGCTGAGTGTCTGTTGTGGAAATGAAAGCTTGCACGTGCTGTTTCATTGCAACTTTGCAAGCAGACTTGAAGGACTCGAAATCATGAGGCGGCGACCCGCCCGGAAAAGCAGTGGAATCAGCAGTGATCTTCTGAGCCCAACACATGGCATTGGCCACCTTAGCAGCACTTAGCAAGTCAAAGGCTTCCATGAAGATGTCCTTTTGCAACTTGTTGACCTCAGCTTGCTGCTGAAGCCGCTCCTGTGCAAGTCGCTGTTTCTCAAGCTCCCGAACCCCTTCACGTTCACAGTACTCCCGTTCAAGCCTCTCCTTCTGAAGTCGCTCCTGTTCAAGCCTCTCCTTCTGAAGTCGCTCCTGTTCCAGCCGTTCACGTTCACGATGCTCCTGTTCAACCCGCTCCTTTTGAAGTCGCTCCTGTTCAAGCCGTTCTTCTTCGAGGCGTTGGGTCTCCCGCCTCTCTAGTTCAAGCCTCTCCAGCTCAAGCCGATCCAACCTCGCATGCCTTTCCATCTCGAAACGTTCTTTTTCCAGCCGGATCTCTTCCATCCTTTGTTTCTCGATTTCTCTCTGCTGTTCCATCTGTTGCCTGTTCAGACCAGTTTGCGATGGCAAGAGGGCCGGTGCAGTAGGAGCAGCAGGCCTGCGTTCATGCTCTGGCAAACCTTCACGTGTTACACCATCTCGGATGGCCGCATGAGCATCTCGCAGAACAGCTCTCTCTGTCTCAGCTAGATCAAAGTCATCAGTGAGACTACGAGACACCCGGCGCTGCGTCGCTGGCAGGCCAACACCCTCCACAGCCGGTCGTTTGGCTGGTGCTGCTGCTGAATTATCTTCCAATTCACCTCGGCTGCACAGGGGCAGGCTTAGACCAATATTGTATCCTGGGTATCTCCCTAGTGTAGAGCACAATATATTAGATACTACTTTTGTGTGTGATTCGGCCTTCATGTTCCGGGCCTAAAACATAGATGGATACTACGTTTCTTTGTGTGGGATTCGGTTCATGTTCCGGGCCTAAGGCATATAGGTTATTGACCTGGTTTTCTTTAAGACTATAGCCACTAGCTGCCAAAACATTGGAACTTATGTGCCATTATAGAGGGATCACTCCCTCCATGTTTTTTGTATGGAGCCTGCAAAATCAGATGAGGCCCCTTGCTAGTACAACAACACAACAATTGTATCCCCGAGACAGCCTATCACAAGTACCCAGATCTCCAATCCTACCGGCTATATAGCAGCACCTAGGCAAAGGAAAGAACCTCAGAACTTCAAGCCCCGACCTTCTACAGGGGACAGTCTTAGGATTGCATAGCTATAACACTGCATAGTATGTGGGGTCCCTGCATTGTATAATCTGTCACAAGCACAAGGAGCTTTCAACCATCCAATAAAGCGAATTTACCAAGCTTTATGCATTCACAGTGTTACAGGACATCGTTAACAGGGTTCACACATGGTCCTGTTGCTGATTAGGAGTCAGAGCCGACGAAGAACTACCGAACCACTAAGCCTCAGCTTTCAATGTGCATTGTCTGCAACTGCATAGTCAAAGCGCTTCAGAGGTGAATAAGGCCATTCATGTACCGACAGGACCAAGTCTTTTTTTAGGTACCTTAGTTCTGTGCCTGGGTAGCCCACACACACACAGCAAGAATATATACACATGTTTACATGTATTTACATGTGTATGTATATATATATACAAATATATATAGGTAGCCAGGCATTAGAACGGCTTGGCTAAGAGCCTCTCGGAGTACTTGCTCAGGAGTTAGCCAATAGGTTCAATGGGCCTTGTAGAGACACTATATGTAGCATGCGACATCAGCTGCACCCAGGCCCTAAAAGCCCCTTTGCAAGGACACTACAGAACACCAAGGTCGATTTATAGTGACTGGAAGATTAGAGAGGCGAACGGTCTCATAGCAGTCATAGCATTTGGGTGAAGTGGCTTTTGTTACATTTTGAAAACTGCCGTACTTGGACAAATGACACCAGCCATGTGCTTCAGCTCAGGAACAACTTCTGGCAGAACAAGTGCCACCGGTTTGCAGACGGCTCCAGGGTAGCATTTAGTATAGGGCGAGCAACAAATAACCATCCTAAAATCATATAGTGGGGTTCCTTCCAATGTATTTGTACGAAACTGCTTTAGATGCCCTATTCTGTATATGTATACGTCTATGTATATATATATGTGTATATATATATATTTATTTATATATATGTATATATGTATACATGTACATATGTATATATGTATA